ACAGCTTCTCGTCAGCATCCAGCACGTCCCGCCACCTCGTGCACACCTGCCCACATTTCAGGAGTATATTGTACATTTAATAAGTACCAAAAAATCAATTAAATCAAATAATTTACAAATAACAATATCTAGAAAAAGAAACATTACCTGACGAACGCGAGCGAGCGAGGGGCCGTCGCGCAAGTGCGAGAAGATGAGCGTGAGAATGAAGTCGTCCACGAGGTCGAACACCTCCGCCGCGGCCTTTGAGGCCGAAGGCTTCGGCTGCGCTTTTTTGTTGCTGGGCTTGTTCTGCTTCCGCCCTGCCTCTGGGGTCGCCCGTCGGTGGCCGGTGGGAACTACCAGCTTGCCTTCGTCGGCCGATGCCAGGACGCCAAACACGTTGGTCGGAGGAGCGGCAGCAGCTGCGGTTGGGGCTGTTCTCGCCTGTCCTCCTCTTCCTCGGCCGCCATTGCCACCACCTGTCCGTCGCATGCGTCTTCTTCTCCTCCGGAACAGGACCAGTTCTTCTCGGGTCGTAGCTCCCTTTCACCTAATCCCACTGTGCCCTGATTGGCGTTCTGATTTTCTGAAGAAGAAAAAGAAAAACCGGAAAAAGAAATGGAATGCAGCCGTCTTGGCCACGGTGTTTCTACGGTGATGCAGTGCCTCTTCGACATTCGAAATAAGATGTAGAGCTCGTCGACAACGAAGAACTGATCCATGCGGTGGACCCAGGTCGGCGGTCTGGCTCTGGAGGCCCTTGACTGCTCGAAGATCAGCTGCTGCGGGTTGGGCAGGGGCTTCTTGTCCACTGCCGCGTGCACGCCCGCTTCAGCACCACAATCTTCAGCTCCCACATCTGAAGTATCGAACCCAAGCCGTAGCTGCCACCCACCACCACCACCACCACCACGAACGTCAGCTCGGCGATCAGGGTTAGGGGTGCAGAGTTACCTGGCGAGGACTTCGCGAGGGTCGAGTTGATGGCCGGCGAGGGTGCTCAGCACGAAGGGCGAGCGGCGGAGGGTCATGGACTTGCCGCCCAGCTTCGCCGTGATGGCGTGCAGCAGCTACAGAAGAGAATCCAGCGATGCGTGAGGGTGAGTACTGGCGCCGCGATGCGAGAGATGAGAGATGGTGATAGTGTATGTGCAGCGTACGTGCACGATGGAGGTTGTTGACTTTGTCCGGCAGGAGGAGTTGACCGCGCTGCTCTTCCGGCCGAGATCTCACGTTCTGTCGTTCCTGCCCATTGCCGACGTCGGAGTGAGCAAGGCTTGGCAACGGTACGCACCCATCCACTCGCAACACACTGCAACACACGCGCGCGTCGCTGGGACAACCGCCACAAAGCGGGCAAGATCCGTCCTGGTGCGTGGGGTTCCTTCTTTGCTCCAATCATTGGCCAACGAATGCGTTTGTGTTCGCTTGCAGGCGCGGTGGGCAAGTCGGCGTTGACTATCATGTTCACGCAGAATCACTTTATCGAGGAAAACGACCCCACCATCGGTTCGCGTGTCGCCCCACCTATTTTGCTTCCTTCGCCTCGACTTCGTCTGATGCTTTTCCAGGAGCACAAGCCAATGACCTCAACACACTACACACAAGCACTAACAAATCACTATTCAACTCTCTACAGCCGTCTCACTGTTGTGGAACTAATAATAGTGCGGGACCGAAGGCCCGGAGAAGAGCAACAGCCAGACACGCATAGAGAAGCCCGCCAAGTGTTTGCTCTCCTGAGGCGATCACAAGACATTGAGACACCGGCCTTGTGCCCGTTCATGTATGATAGGCGCTGAGAGTAATGGTTCCAAGATAAATCCCGTTCAATCGCATGACATCAAAGGGCGCCGAGTCGTTGCATCTCTTGTAGGAGGGCAGCATGGTCCTTGCACAGGAGGGCATCGATGCCCATCGCCTGCGCGGCGGCGACGTTCTCCTCTGAGTCGTCAATGAAGAGTGTTTCTTCGGCCAGCAGCTGATGATCTGCACACGACGAAGAAGTCTGGTCAGTTTTTCTTTTCTGCGCAATGTCGCTTGGTGATCAAATAGGCCGACGGATGTACCCTGCAGAAGGTGTTGATAGATCTCAGGCTGGGGCTTGATGCAATGTACATGCGAGGAGATGGTCATCCCATCGAACTTGGCGAAGCACACCTCCTCATCCTTGTAGCATTTGTACACACCTACCCACACATATGGAGTGAACCAACACACACGACACACACGGCACACAACACAACGGTGTGTGTACAATGTATCCACTCTTGCTATGGAGGCTCTCCACATACCGTCAAAATACTCCTTGTGGAAGTTGGACAGCACATAGGTCCTGTAGCCCTTGGCTCTTTGTAGAGTGCCACAACCAGTGAACAAACACCAACAGAGACGAGTAAATGGAGGTGAGGAACGCACCTCACTCGGTTGAGAATATCAACACCTGCAGGCAGGGGCGTGAAGTACGGCAGACACCCCTCCACGAAGCGCCTGTAGTCCTCTATAGAGTCCGAGAGCGAATTACATTTATTGATTTATTTATTAAATTTGTTTTTGATTTATTTGGTGATGGAAAGAACAGAGGGAACCTTTGTTGAAGGGGGCGGGGAGGAGGGCGATGGACTCCTCGCGAGAAATGTCACCCCTGTCGAGGAGCTTCCAGCAGGGGAGCGAGGTGGCCTGCGCTAGCTCCAGTGGGCAGTCCTGCGGCAGTCGGTCGCTGAATATGCCAGCAAGGAACGCCGGTGGGTCCCACGCCAGCAACACCCCGCCAGGTCGAACACCACATTGCGGTACACCTTCGTGCCATCCAGCGCTCTGCA